GAGGCTCTGCGGGCACCCGCTCGCAGCCCCCGGAGTGCGCGGGGCTGGGGAGGGGGCTCCGGGAGCCCGGCCCAGCATCCCTCCTCCTCCTCCTCCTCCTCCTGCAGGAAAGCATCTCTCCTTGTTTGCGGATCAGCATCGCCTTCTTTTTGCGAGGTTGTATTCCTCCCTCTTAGGGCATGGCACCCCTTCTTCTTGCGGGGCAGCACCCCTCTTTGCAAGGCAGCATCCTTCCCTGCTTGCAGGGCAGCATCCCTCCCCGGGGAGCAGCATCCCCCTCCTTCTTGCCGAGTAACCTTTCTTCCCCTCCCAGGTTGTGCACAGCAGCAGCAGACAGGCAACCTGCACACAAGGCAAAGGTCTTTCCTAGGGACTGAGATGGCTGTGGTTTGCAATTTGGATCCCAACGCACGCCCAGGAGGAAGGGACCGCTGGCATTTGCGGATCTGGCCTTTGTCTGGCTATGGGGTAAGGAAGGGGGTCTCACTGTTGGCAGCTGTTTTGGGTTTTTATTTTGTCCCACCCGAAACCTTTGCAGCTTTAAGCACTTACTGCTTGGGTTGCTGCAGGAGCTACACCTTCAGAGGTGGTGGTAAGGACAGCCAGTTCTTGTGTTTAAACTAAGCCTTGCCCAAAATACCAGAGAAAGTGCCTCTTTTATATAAGCCTTTTTTCTCCAAAGCAGTTGAGATCTGACATAAAAAAAATTGCATCTCCAGCTGTTATGATTGATGGGAGGGCTTCTGGAAAAAGGACTACCAAGTGCAGCTGATGAACTACACAAAACTATAGTTTGAGATGCCTGAACGTCCCCATTCATCTCTACGGGGAGCTGACTGACGCCCACAAATGTTTTAAGGACGTTAACTACTTCACAGCATGTTTGCACATAGAGAAACCAGGCGAAGCTGCAACACTGAACCTGCAAGTGGCTTCCAGTGTAGGCCAGTCTTAGAGAAATATGCACGGCCTCCCCCCTCCTTAGCTTCTTGATGGAAAACCAAGGTACGAAACGTGTTCGTTGGGCTGAAATGTCAGCCAGTAGGGCAGAAACGTGGATCAAGCAACCACAAGGAATTGCCTTTGTAAAAGCTCCCCTATGAGATGTTTGCTCGCGTTCACTCAGGAATTTCCAAATCTTCATTTGGAAATGGCATCCCTCCCCCAGGTGGGAGGTGGGCTCTAATTACGATCAACTTCTGCATGAAAGCCAAGCGAGGCCCCTCCGCACCGGGAGATTTTCCCTCACTGCAGTCAGAGGGAAGCAGGCAGCGGGAACGAGGATGGCTAACCTGAAGATGGCTAACGCGTGTGCGCTGCCTCGGGGGTGGCAGGTTCTGATCAATCCCATTCGGAA